ATTTTATTTACATCATACATCCTAATGTACCATGCATTAAGCTAACTTCACGAATATCGATAAAAATATCATGATGGTGATAATGATAGTGATGTTTTACCACACTCCGAAAAATGTAATATCGACACATGCTATTGGAAAATACGTGAGAAACTGATGTATTTTTATATAATTGGACAAGTGTGTGCGTGTATGGGTGCTCGCATAAATAGCTATCATGGATATCTTGCAAGATCTTTATCATTAATTATCAACATCAACACTGCCTTCCCAAATATGATTTGCGCAGTTTGTAATCATGTGACCAGAAACTGATATAAAATCAGGGGTCGCTTTCGAAGCTAGCTATCAAACACACGTTTTGTTCACTTTTACTACTTTATAAATAGCCAAAAATGTCATTCTTGCATAAAATGATACCCAGCCGTTGACCGATCCTTCAGATTGGCCACATTCCGAATACCGACGACTTGACTTACTTCTTCGATGTTCGATCTGCTTTGAATTCTTCCAGACGCCAATGATTGTTAAATGCGGGCACATCTTTTGCGCAAGTTGTATTGACGCATGTATTACTAGAGTCCCGGGGTGTCCGCTTTGTCGTGCGACGTGTTCTCCCAACGATCTTAGGGAGGAAACTATTCTTCAAGATATAGTAAATCAGTATAATATAATTAGGTAGATTTTTGAATATGATTTATTGATCTCATAAATCAGTAAATTAATTGATGTTTCTTTTCGCTATTATATTAGACCAGAACTATTGAAAATCGTTACAGAATACTCGATGCTAAAGAACGCCAAGAAAACAGAGATGTCGCATTCCGTTGAGTTAGGAAAATCAACAACAAATGCGGCAGAATCAAATTCTTCAACTCCAAGATCACCATCTTCAGATTCGTCATCCGAAGTGGAATATCTTTACACAGTCTTTCGAGATATATCTCCTGAAATAAAAGAGCATTGCCGTCTTCAAGTCATCGAACTCAAACATTACCATCTTCAAATTCATTACCTGAGGTGGAATACCTTTACACAATCTCTCGAGATGTATCTCCTGAAAATAGAGTAACGTTGCCGTCTTCAAGTCATCATCGAACTCCCGTAACTAACAAGTATGTGATTTCACAATTATTTTCTTGATTTAAAATTTAGTAATTCACCAGATTTCTAATTGAGATCTTTTTGCTGATTGCAATGGAAATATCAGTAGCAACACAAGTGTTATCTCAAAAACTGAAATGAAGAAAAAACCAAAGATCGTCTACTCGCTTATGAAAGAATCAAAATTACGTGAGATACTTAAGGCGAGTAAAACATGTATTATTCATACCTATTGGATGTGATCTTTTGAAAATCTAATTTTGTATAATAAAAATTATACATCAATACAGAAAGAGGGCTAATCAACATTCGGCAACAAAGCAGAAATGATTAAAAGACGTGCGGAATACGTAAATCTCTTCAAATACATTATTTCTAAGTATGCATGTGATCTTGCTTTGTATTTTATTGATTTTTCTTGCAATTATTTAATAGGATTTTGAAAATGAAAATATATAATAAAAATGAAATTTAATCACATGATAATTGCTAATGTCAGCTGAAAATTGCCTGTGACTGCATTTTGAGATCGTAAATTATACGCATATTTTAATTGACTCTGGGTGATAATCAGTTGGAGTCACTACCATTGATTTGATGCGTAAAAAATAATAATTACCGGAAGTTTGTATATGATGGCAGACCTTTATCGGCTATTAAAATTTGATGAGAATATGAATTTATTTATGAATGATTAATTGACAATTTATTAGTTGATAGATTGATTGATTGACTGATTGATGGCTACATGAGAAAACAAATACGAAATTTTATTATACACATTTGTGCGCATATTAGTATCAAAAAAAATAAAAACCACAGGTAAAATCAACGACCTATACGCTCGTAGTGGTTAATTTGTAGTGAATAACTTTTACACAACTACTTAATAGTCGGTTCACTCTTTCTCTTCGCCGCGCTTTCTCCCGTCGTTGTATATGGGTGTTTTCATTTTTAAATATATATAATATATCCGCACGATACGAAAAAGGAGGGAATACTCTTCTTTTTTTATTTTTCCTTCTCTCCTCTAATGTGCCACCCTTTTATTTTTTTATTTTTATTTTTAATTAAATAATTAAATAGTTAAATAATATTTTTTTTCCTTTTCTATTAAAATCGCTCAGACAGCTTATGACGGGTTGTCCGCCTACATTCGGACAGCAGTACCGTCAGCATTTTTTTCAAATCCACCACCGCCACAACACAATTATCAGACCCTGGCGGCTCATCATTTGTACTAACTTCAACAGTCTGCTGCTATTCAGCATCAGCAGCCACAACCTCGGCAACAGTATCCCACGAACATGCCTGTAGTTTATACTTCATCCGTTGTTGGGCCTAGGTCAATAATAATAATAATAATGAAGCAGCAAGCAATCAACCTTAATCTTCTGTTAATAACCACCATAATTCCTCGAGCACTTTGAAGTCGGTCGAGTTCGCTTCGAATATGGTTTACCAAATGTGGCATTTTAAAAGATCTTCCTTTGCCTTGGCTAGTCAGTATGGCGCTCCACCTGCATCGAATCCTAATAATATCTCACCAACTGCGAGTCCTCAATTCAAAAATTTCTGTAATCATGTACGATTATCAAAATATGAAGTATCTCATCCATTATATGCAACAAATAATCCGTATAAGTAGTGGAACGATCACAAGGCAATATTACCATTACTTGCCGAACAAGTAAGAATTTACCTTGCAATTCTAGCTTCTTCAGTTCCTGCTAAGCGTGGGCAAAGGTAAAATAGGAATTTTCAATTCAATTATAATTTCAATTCAATTCACAAAAATAACTATAAATTACTAATAAATTCAAATAACGTTTATTCCAAACCATAAAACAAAATAGATTTATTCTGAAACAATTAAAGTCATCAAATCAAAGAATAAAACTCAAACACTATTCATCAACTTTTGTATGGCCAAAGCAGTAAAGCATTCGATTTCGTTATTCTTTATATACAATTTGATTACAATACAAATATCTAATTTACAGGTTATATTTAATTCTCTATAATAATTCGTGGATTACTACATACAAAACAAAGTATGAATTACTGTAAGAATTACTACAAAAGGGCTGACTGTGCTTCGAATAATAATTATAATTATAGGAAAAATAAGCAAAATTATTATGTATATCACAAAATATGAATTTTAGAGGCTTAAAAGTATAACGTGCAATTCGAATGTTTGTAAGAATTCCTACTGATGATTATATTTTAGAGAACGCAAGAATTTTTGTAGGAAATTTGAGTTATTGTGAAGGCAATGTTGATGTTGATATCATAAAGAGGTAGGATGTCATGGAATTTTGGTTTTTCGTAACACATTACTAATTAATGATAAAGATCATGCATCTTTCCAGCATGCTCGTAATCACAGAACTTTTCATCATGATGGCAATATTAATATTAATACATGCATGTACTTAACCCCGAGAATCTTGTTGATTACCATTAATATTGAATTAATATATAAATCGAATTTTTTTTCGAATTGGCTTTACTGTTTAAAAATATTTACAATTAAACTCAAATTGGTATCTTTAAAAGTTTTACGTAAAACCATACTAAAAAATAGTGCATTACATCATTTGCAAGATATCCATGAGTATTATTAATAATAATTATTCCCAACATGACGTTACTCATGTCAATATAATATTAATACTGTGGGAATAATAATATATTGATATGGCTGAACATAATACATCACTCAAATTAACCCCTATTTGACTATCGAATAATCAACAAACAAATGTTCCCACAATTCCCACAAACATTGTGTGTTTCTATATAAACAGATTCAGGAATTATTATATGCCTATATATTTTATTATCAATAATATAATTGTCGTTATCAAATAAAAAGTTTTTTATTTTAACAAAGTCAAAAAACGTGTGTACTTTATATAATAAAGAAGAAAATGGAAAAAATGCACCAAGATCTTAGTAGTGTTGCTACGACGGTGGCAAACGAAACTGATTCTACGGGGAGTACATCTGACGATACCTCACCTGCCGTTATTGTTCCGATCCCAAAACGATTTGTGCCACAAGACTTTACAGAACGCGTAGAACATTTAAATAATCAGAATAATAATACTAACAATAAAACTAGTTCTGATGATACTAGAATTCCTCAAGATTTTTCAGGGAGCCATTTGCGACAACAACAAAATGCAGCAGAACGCGCGAGAGCGTCGCGAGATAATTCTGAACAGGGTGGGATCCCCCCTCCACCTCGAACATCTTCAACGCTTAATTTTAATATTAATGGTGGTGATGGTGGTTTTGGCGGTATTGGTGCGGGAGGAGTACAAACATCACACAGTATCCCGGATGGAACTATCACAACCACGACGACAGTTACAATTAAATTGACTACCGTCACAATAACAAATCCTACAAATGGGGCTACAACTACATCAGTCTTTACGGAAATTGTTCCAGTAACAACCGCCGCCAATAATTCTAATGATGATGCATCAGTTACTTTTCAACAAATGGAACCGAGTTTCACTCCAATGTCGCCGAAAATATCCTCAATTCCAAATTATCATCCACCTGCAAACAGCATCAATAATGGAATTAATAATCATGTCGCTTCAAACATGCATTCTTCAGGAAGTAATAATACAACGAATTATAATTCGCCAGACATGAGTAAAAGAAATAGTCCGGCGCTATCTTCTTCATCCGATCATCATTCAGCAATGGGTAACTCAATAAAAAGTCCGCGAGACAGGCGTTCGCCTAATAGTGCATCATCTAGTCGTAGAAGTACGAGGAGTGGGACTCCTTCGAGAAGAAGTCCAGGAAAGATTGATTTTATTTTAGCGGACCAATCGGCGAAAATTGGAGGAGAAATAACAGAAAGAGATCAAATGTCTATAACAACTAATTTACATTTAGTTAATTCGGTGCCAATGAATGATAATAACAATTCGCCATTGCTCAATAGCAACAACATCATCTCAGCATCAAATGTATCATATTCCAACAAAGTTCCCATTTACAATCAATCACCAATTCATAACGATGTATTAGGACAATTATCTTCGTCACGTGACGACTCGATTCCTTCGTTTATTGACGCGTCAAATGCTGCTGAAGGATCTCCTCCTTACCTAAACGCGTCTAGCCCAACTGGCGACGTTGCCTCTTTTATGGATATTGCAAAATTGACAGAAACGCCATCAAACATATCCGAGACTTCTGACAATACAACCTACGCTAGCTACATACCACCATCTCCCAGCTATATTCCTCCTCGCAACAATTTCGATAGTACCCCCGTCCAAAATTATAATGAGACTACCATTGAAAACTCACTCGTTTCCAATGATCCATATAATGAAAATCAAAGGTTATTAGATGATATAACCAGTCCAACAAGCTCCGGAGGCACTCTGAATTCAGTATCATCATTGAGTCCTGCATTTAATCAAGCTTCTGGTCAAAATCTGGTTTCATATGAAGAATCTCCCTCGCCGATCGCTGATGGAAAACGTGATCCTGGAAATTTTTTCGATAAAGATATCGATCAAAATGAAGATTATTATAGTGACGCTAGCTCTTCTACCTCATATAATAATAATAAAAATAAAAAACAGGAAAATTCTGGACGTTCATCACCAATCCCACGTTATTATCGGCTTCCCAAATTAGGAGCATTAAGCACGGTATATGAAGTTTGGAATGAATGGCATGTAGGATTAAATGGAAATCCTTCTATAGAGGAGTTGCTAACTAAATTCGGAAGCAAATGGACAAGCGATAATTCTGGTAGACTGTTTCGACGACGAAGAATTATTAAGGAAATTAAACGAAGAATAGAAGAATTTGGCAACGATGAGCGAACAGCCATTGAATCTCTTGAGACGATGCGAGCGGGAAAATCTATTAACTATTTACACGATAAATTATCCGAAAGAAAAAAGTAATACCTTTCATTTCTTTTTTTTACAATTAATTAATATCGGTCGTGACGATAGATTGTTTGTTCTTTGAATTTCTACTAGAATTATAACATTTTATTCCTGTAAAAATTATTAATTTCCATATAAAATTAGAGTTTTAATTACGCGATGTGCTCTATAATAACGTGAATATGTTCTTCGGTAAAATATTGCCTATTTTTTTTCGTCGCTAGAAACTCTTCAGAGTCCTGGAGGGTGAGGTTAGTTAATTTGCAGTCGTCACAATATTAGCTTTCCATATTTTCCTTTACATAAATCGGCGAATTTCGAGTCGATGGCGATCTAAATATTTTAATCCGATCCAAAACCAATAATAAAGTTTTCAGGTCAACTTTTTTGTAATTAAATGCCAATGCATCGAATTCGGTTGCCTTCTTGATAGCATTTTTGAGTTCACCAATGGTTTTTTTCTACTAATCTTAACAGGAAAAGCATGATCTGAGTCGGGAATCTTTCTTTAATCATGCAAAAAAGTTATCGTTATTGCCTTATATACATGCTATGTTGATCACGTCATTAGCTAAAAAACATAAAATGGAGTCGGCTGAAAAACACGAGAAGCTCAATTATTTAGGATAACAACAGCAGCAACAATCGTTCATTGGCTCAAGTAAAAATACACGAGAGACTTCAAATAATTATAATAAGAGCACAAATACTAAATGATGCTGCCGAAGCTGATGTTCCAGATGGTGAACCTCATCGACAAGGAGACGCACGTAGCCAATCGAACAAGAAGAGAGAACACACTGTATGTCAATTGGTGTGTACATACAAATCTATTTCCTTCAAATAAGAATATAATACAATTCTTTTACTTAAAAGGAAATGGAAGGTTCCTTAATATTTGAAAAATATTTATCATTATTTAATTTAAGTATACTTTATGAAGACATAATGAATATTAATTCGTTAATACTATATGCGTATGGATATAGAGCGCCTTCAGAAACTCTTAATCAGCGACTGTTTACAAAAAAGAAACGGGTTCGGGAACACTTTGAAGATCTAGAATCATGTTACTTATCCTATCGATTGCAAGATAGTATGTTTTTATATTTTTTAGACTGATTTAAGTTATTTATCAATCTAATTCTTCCATTTATAAAACCGATCCCCAGAAAGGAGGATTGTCCAAATTCTCGGATACACTTAGCTCATTCACAAGATATGGCCAATTTCGTCCAGTGAGTACTTTGTGATATGGAGATTTATTTGGATCATCTTCCATGGTTTCTAGTATTGAATTTGACTGTGATGACGAGTACTTTGCCACGAAAAAAATTAAGATTTTCGAGTATGGCAATATCGAACGGCAGCTTGTTGGAGCTTCACTAGGTTATAATAATAATGTGAGCTCTTCCGTTAGGGATAACATGTTCAACCAGAGAAGGATCATGAATTCATATCTTCATTACCCAATAAAAGAAAGGACTTGAAAAAGTAAAATTAGGTTAATGTACTAATATTTGAAATTTTTTGATTTTTTTCTTAAGTCTAATTAATTGATGCGAAATAACCACTTTATTTTTAAATAAATATTAGTTGTTTATCATGGAATACGTATAAAACTCAAATTGCAAGTGCAGATTACGATGGCGTGGTCTCCCTATGGGACGTTAATACCGGAATGCAAGTAATGTCTTTCGATGAACATGAAAAGCGTGCTTGGAGTGTTGACTTTAGCAGAATGGATCCTACAAAATTGGCTAGTGGTAACGAGGATACCAAAAATATTATTAAGACATTTATATGTTTTTGACGCTAACAATACCACCATATAATAATTGTTTTTTTTTTACGTTTAAGCATATGATAATCCAGTGAATTTGTTGCGTTAAGCTTAATCCCGATATCAGTCATTACATTGCATTTGGTAGCGCAGGTAATTATCTTATCTATAATATTTTCATTTAAAATACATTCTATATAGCATTGATTATATAATTTGAATTATTAGATCATCATGGCGACACACGCGAGAACCAGTGTTCGTTTATAAAGGCCATCATAAAGCGGTGTCTTATGTTAAATTCTTGTGATCCAATGTATTTGTGTCTGCGTATGTAATAAATAATATTTTTTGAGTTAAATGGTTTCTTTTCCGCTATTTACTATTTTTTTAATGATAATAGATCGACGGATAGCACCCTAAGACTCTGGAATACCAATACAAATTCATGCGTAAGGACTTTCACTGGATACGTAAACGAAAAAAATTTCGTGGATCTTATTATGACTGCCGATTGGATCATGTGTGGCAGTGAAGAGAATTCAGTCATTGCTTATTATAAACCTTGTGTCAACCAGTTGTCCGATTTAACTTTGGCAGTATTAATAATGTAACAGTAATTGTTAGTTGTTTATGCATGGATGTTAGCTAATTTTGTAATCCTCGTTTAATTGATCTTGCTTTTAACAGGCGAAGAGGCTCCAGAAAGTGATGCATCCCTATTTGTAAGTTCCGTCTGTTGGAAAAAGAATTCGAATATTGTGCTAGCGAATAGTCAGGCACTATCAAAGTGTTAGAATTGGAATAATAATAGTAATACATCATATTCTTATTATAAAAAATAATAATGATAAATATCATAATGAAAATAATGATAATACAATAGGAGTATAGCAATATTATAATAATAGAAATAAAGGCTCGATTAAATCGCGCGCATAGTACTGTACATTACTATGCGCATAGTATATACATGTAATACGCATAATGATCTACATATATAGTAATCAAATACGCGGCGCGAATTCATGTTGATTTTAAAACGTTCACTAATCGTAGTTGTATACGTCCGGATTCAGGGCATCAACATTGAAAATTTTTTACTCAATTACTCACCCGGGTCTTTTTCAAAAGCCAATACTTATTAATATATATAAAAATGTTAACAATCAACATTATAATCCAATAAATAACATATAACAATAATATAGTGTTAATATTGTTTAGTTTCAAGTATTAAAATATAATATCCAGTTCTACATATAGTACATACTATTCAATTAAAATAGTATATGAATAAAGTTTGAATGAGAACCTGGATACTATATATGACGCATATAATTTCTGTAAACTGATGTGAAAAGGGAAAACTGTGATTTTATTAATATAGCAATATTATATATATCAGACTATTACACTATTTCCTATCCAATTATGGGCTATATTAACATGAAAATTTTATTTAGCTATTCCTGAACCTCTGTTTTAAAATATTTTCCTGCAAATATGAGTTTATTCTAATTAAAAAAGATAAGACAAAGCTCATTTTCAAAATCAAAAATGAACAAAAGTCGAGTAATACTGATAAATAATAATATTAATATTATTTAATAAGTAAAAAAGTCAATAAGAGTAATAGAGAAATAAAATATCTAACTAGAATAATAAGAAGCAAAAATAAAAATAACAAAAATAACCATAAATCTATTCTAAAATATATTAGTCTTTCAAAAAAAATTATCTTTGTATACTGACTTGTCTCTAATCAAACAAGATATAATTCAAATGAATTAGAGAACAAATTAAAATCGAGAGATTTATATAATTATTGAAAGATAACTTATTTTGTAAATTATACTTATTATCTTAGCAGAATAAATCATTTGTCATTAATAATTTTAAAAATTTATTTTTATATTCAATTTTACTAAATCAATAGATAAATATCAATAGCAAAGTTTATCTAATAAGAATAGAAAAAATATTCATATTTAGTTTAAGATTAGTTATTTCTTTTTTTAAAGATTTGAATGATTAATATATACAAATTTTTTGATTGATAAGAAAAAATAATGTCTGTCATATATATTTTTTATAATATAAATTTAGAGTTAAAAGTTGAATTTCTCTAGACTTTTTTTCTAATAATATTAAAATATAAATATCATATAATCTTATAATAAATATTATACTTACATAAAAATATTAAGAATTTTAATTACAATATTATTAAGAATCTTTTCTCATTCTTTTAATTAGATGCTAAAGCTTTTGTAAAGATATATCTATAAAATTATTATCATAATTTATTAAAATTTATTATATTATTTTAATATAATCTTTCTATTACATAAAAGAAATTATCAAGAAGTTCATATAGAATATCAAGATAATTAGTAAAGTAATTTGCTAGAATTCACACAAAAAATAAAGTTAAAAATAAATAGAATATTATTATTAAAACTTAAAACTTTATTATAATTATAATATTAAAAATATAGAATAGAAATAGTATCTTTAAATAAATAATTTAGAATTATATAAATTAATAATAATTTATAATATATAAATATTTATATGATAATATCTTTGAAAAATACTTATTAATATATAAATATAATAATAAAAATATTATAAATAATAAATAAAAAAAGATAATATATCTAACTATTTAATAAATAAGAAATAATAAAAATTCTGCTAAAAATATCTTCTAAGACTAAAATAACTCAAGTTATTATGTGATTTATCTTGATATAATTAGATGATTATAATATAGTAAATCATATTATTACTATAGTGACATAAAATTTCTTAATTTTCTAATATTTCTTTAGTTATACAAAATCACATTTTTCTATAATTTTTCTTTATTTTATGAATATTTCTATTTTCATATTATATATTACTATATTTATTATCACATTTCTATTTTTAAATACTATATTTATATTTTTATAATATAATATTTATATATATAGTAAAATAGTATAGTAAAAGATTATTTTTAATTTTGGTAAAATAGTTACATTTGGATAATGATCATAAATATCTTTTTATATCCTTCAATATTCTTTAACATTCTCTTACATTCTTTCATATCTTTCAATATCTTTTTATATCTTTCAATATCTTTTCATGTCTTTTAATATTTTTTTATATACTTTAATATTCTTTAACATTCTTTAATATTTTTCAACATACTTTAACATATATATTTCTAATTATTTATATTATATTACTTTAATTACAATATGTATATTAGATATTATTAATTAATAATATTATAATAATTTATATATTTGAAAAATGTATAAAAGAACCTGCTATTCCAGCTTGAAATAAATAGTTTTTGAATTAAATTATTTGAAAAATATAATTAAAAAGCTTATTATCATAATAATAGTAATCTTTTTACAAGATTTCTTTTTTGATTATACTAGTACTCTTTTTTTCACTCAGTTTTATTTCTTTAATCATATAAAGTTGATTTTAATTTTTGGATTATAATATTATATTGATTTTTGATATTATTTTGAAAATAGAAGATCTTTACTATAAATAAGTCATACTTTTTATTTTATTATTTTTAAGAGTAGAAGATCTTTACTATAAATAAGTCATATTCTATTTTTATTTAGTTATTTAGTTTATATATTTTAGTCTTTATCTTTTTTTAGTTGTAATTTTCTTTAATTAATAGTAGTTTTACTATTTAATTATCTTAAATCTTGAATTATATTGATTATTAGTAACTTTACTAAGCTAATCTTTATAATTTTTTTGATTTATTTTATTCTTTCTTTATTTATTTTACTCTTTAAAAGATAATATCTATAGATATTGATACAGGTCTTAGAAATCTTTATCATTATTGAAAAGATAGTCTAATTTTCTTTTTTTCATTCTTTAATTAATTTAGTCTCTTCCAATCCTATATTGTTAAGATAAATTCAAGTAAAAATTTATTTATCAATTCATCATAATAAATTTTTGATACTCTCTCTATAGAATAAAATCTCTGGAGACTCCAATTTTATTTTCATTTATTATCTCTATGAAAAAAAACTCTCTCTATCTATCTTATTTTATTTATATATTCTTATTATTCTTTTTATATTTCTTTTTAATATCTCTTTCTTCTATTATCTGTAATTGATAAATATTTGAGTCTTGAGTTTTCATAACTAATAATTATTTTTTTATTAGACTATCTATTAATTATTATCTTGAAATACACAAAGATCTTAATTTCACTATTAGAATACCTGTTCAAGACTTTTATCCTTATTATAACTCTCTTTAATCAAATTTTTCTTTATAATTTTATATATTTCATCTGCTTACAGAAAATATTAGAGCAATATTAATTAATCAAGTTATATATTTATTATTTCAAAAATTACTTCAATTTGATCTTAGTAAAATATATATTAGCAGACTAAAACAAAGAATAATACAACTAGTAAATATCTTTATATTTGATTATATTAATACTTAAGAAGAATAACTTAATTTAATTAAATAATTCTATTAATAATTTATTTATTAAGACTTTATCTTTTAACTGAGAACTTCTACTAATAATGATAATATTAATAAATACTATTTTAAAATCAAAAATTCAGAAGATATATCAATATCAAAACTGATAATTTTCTGCTGTGATATAATGTGAATTCTAACTGTGATTAGATTATGATTTTGTATAATATTATGATCAAATTTAAATAAATTCTGACTGTATTATAATCAAAATTTAGTAAATTCCATATTATTCTGCTATAAACTATATAATAACCTGACAGATTTTGATCAGTATATAGTATATATGATTAAAAATCCTATAAAATAATTAAAATTCAGAGAATTAGTTATTATTATGATTTTTTTAAGAGATTTTGAAATATTGATGAAGTTATTTCAGATGAAAAATCAGTTTTTATTTTTGACTAGACATATAAAAATCATATTTATTTTATAAAAAATGTAAAAAATATAAAAAAATATTAAAAAACTTAAAAAACTTAAAAAATATAAAAAAAACTTAAAAATCTTAAAATGAAACTATTAAAATTAAAAAAAAAGAATATTTTAAATTCTGTTAAAATATATTATACTTAATTTTTTTAATGATTCTTGGAATAAACTTTGTTAGTCACTTGATAAAAGAGAATTATATAATAAAAAATTACATTTAATACTACAACTAGAAATTAGAAACTAATAATAATCTAAAGTAATATTAGTTAAAATTGATAATTAAATACTCAAATTTTATCAATATATATCTAATGCTATTTTAATACTATTATTATTATTATTTTCTAATCTGTAATAAATAGTCCATTTCTGAATTAATATATCAGATAGATTTGCAAGTTCTAGAATATTTGCATAATGTTATATATTTTTTCTGAGTATATCATTAGCATGAATATAACTAGAATCAAAAATATGACAAGCTTAAAATAATTTGCATGCAGAATATTGAGAAATATGTATTCAGAATTTATTATAAGCTATTTCAAATGCCAATTGAAATATTAAATAAAAATCTTCAGAATTAAAATAAAAATTATAAATAAGTATTTCTAATTCAGATCCAAAGTATTATACTTGATAATTAGTTTGAATATATATTATAAGTTACTCAAGTTAGCACTTTATTAAAGAAAATAATAATTTGTTTGATTATTAAAAAAAATTAAGATCCTGAACAAACTCTTTAGTATAAATTGAAATAAAATTAATATATATAATAATAATATCATAATGTTAAATATTTTATAAATAT